TTATAAAATAAACAACTTTTTCTTTTCAAAAACGTGGTTTTGCCGCCATCTGTTTACATTATGAATGACAGTTGTGAATAAAGCTAGATTGTTAAATAAAATGGTTTAACTAGTGTTTTTTTTATGGATATTTGACTAATTTTGTTGTTTAGAGAGTAATCTTTTGTTTAAAAACATTTGCCTTTACATTAAAACTTACTTTAAGAAGTACCTATGAACCATCATGAAACATGAAGTATATATTATAGCATTTGATATATCTTTCTTCGGAAGAAATTCTTTTTCATAGTGGTCTTTATATGCTGCCAAAAGAATTTGATTTGTTGGTTTTTATTTACCGTGCAATTTGCGGTTAAGTTTTAAAAGAATCATAACTTGGTTAACAACTCGTTCATAAAAACCAGTTAAAAATCGATTTTTCTGAATAATCAAAAACCGGTTTTGGATCAATTTCTAACCGGTTTTAAAAACCGAATTTAACCGGTTAAATAAATCGGTTTTTTTACCGGTCAAATAAATCGGTTTTTTAACCGGTCAAAAATCGGTTTTCTTAACCGGTCAAAAAAATCGGTTTTTTTAACCGGTCAAAAAAATCGGTTTTTTAACCGGTCGAAAAAAACGATTTTTCAACCGGTCGAAAAAACCGGTTTTTTCGACCGGTTAAAAACCGTTTTTGTACGGTTTTCAAAACCGGTTTTTTTTAAACCGGTTAAAAATCCTATGACCGGTTAACCGCCTCATAATTTTATTTCTGACAGCCCTATTTGAAACGTTTGAAAAACAAAAATTAACATTAACAATAGTCGGCTATGAAAACAATTTATAACAAATGTTCGAAATGTCGTCATTCCATTTCAACACATTTTTGAATGCGGGTAATGAATTCTGGCACACAACGCGCCAACATATCGGGCGGTATCGCCGCACAGGCGTTCCTGATCCGCTCCACCATGTCCTCCCAAGTTGTAGGAATTGCAGCGTAAACTTTTTCTTTCAAGTAACCCCACTGGAAGAAGTCTGGTGGCGTAAGATCAGGTGATCGAGCAGGCCAAATTACTGGACCACGTCTACCGATCCACCGCGGTGCACCGGCCATTGAACTCCCGATCCAACACCTCTCGAGCAATTGTCGAATAATGTGCAGGACAACCATCTTGCTGGTACCACATGTTTTGGAGCCGTGCTAGTGGTACATCCTCCAAAAGGTCCGTCAGATCGTTTTCTAGAAAATTCCGGTACTTTTCGCCATTTAATGCACCGTCAATAAAGAAGGGTCCGATTAATCGTTCGCTTAAGGTACCGCACCAAACGTTTACCGACCAGGGACGCTGGTGCTCCACTTGGTGTCGAAATGGAAGGACGACATTTCGAACATTTGTTATAAATTGTTTTCAGAGCTGACTATTGTTGATTTAATGTTAATTTTTGTTTTTCAAACGTTTCAAATAATACATTTTACAAGGAAACCCCTTTTTCTTAAATTTTGAATTACAGCGCCATCTGTTGATAAATTGAAAAAAACTTTCAAATAAAAGTTATTCATTTTTTTATGTACTACCAAACTCTGTGAAAAAAATCGGGTCATTCCATTTGACTTTCCAAAGTTACCCCCCGTTTCACCCTTAAGGAGGGGTAGGGGGGTGGCTAGCGGTAGCACCAAATAATGTCCCCTTTGGTCACATTAACCTTTTATTTAAGACATTTTTCCGTGAAATGCGTATTTCTCGAGATATTGAGCTGTCTCAAGTTAAAAGAAACACCCTGTATAAACTTTGTAAACTTTTGTATATATTTTAAATCCCCCACTTATGAACTGACTATGGGCCTAAGGTAGATCATATGCCAAATCGACAAATTTCCCCTCAAAAAAGGAAACAAGGTCATCCATTCAAAATAATTTCATAAAAAAATAAGTTTATAAAAATAATTTCATAAAAAATAAGTTGATTAAAAAGTCATTTGATAAAATAATTTAAAAAAAATAAGTTGATAAAAAAATAACGATACACGAATAAACTATTTAGAGCGGGAATAACGCCTTGATAGATCAAGGCGGGAGCAAAATATTATCGTAAGCGACACAATGTCAAATCGCTATGTCTCGGAGTTGCTTACGATTATTTGTCGGGAACATATAGGCGCTTACGTTCTAAATCGGTAACAAATTAAAAAGAAGAGGCGCTTACAATATTAAAAATATTCAAACTGACCAATATTAGATTCCAACATTGGGATTATGTTAACATGGGCAGCTTATCGTAACTGACACAAATAAAAAGTAATTCAACAAAATTGTCGCTTACGATGTTTTGTCAAATAACCATCGATATACAGGAGAAGGAATTAGATTGTTCACAGCGGGAGAAATGAATGTCATTAATTATTAAGAATTGCAAATACAATCGGCTTATTACTAATCACTCGACAAAAAACTTAATTTACTTACCGATCTGATTTATCGCGTTATAACGCGGCGGTAAGTAATTACTTACCGACCTAGCAACCCTTGCAATTTTTGTTATTAAATAGTAGTAGTAGTAGTAATTTTACACAAATATTAAAAATCTCTTGAATTGATTTCTTGTTTCCTAATTTTTGAACACCCTGTCACAAATTTTTGTATATCAATGTTTTTTTTTTGATGATCAACTTTTTATGTATGACTTCATAAAAAAACAAAAATAAAAAATCCCTCTTGAGTCCATAATAATAATATTAAGAGGTCTATCATCGCAATTTTAATTTTTTTTTCCTCAGCAAATTTTGTCTTAGAACTCCCAAACCATTGAGTTTAACAAAATTGACTCGAAAATATTTTTTTAAGAAAATTAAATTCTCTACAAAAAAGGTTAAGGTGAAATTTTCCGTCAGATGAACCATTTCCTTAAAATCATGCCTTAAATATTGGTATAGTTTTTCATTTTGATCTTTTAAATTGGAATTTTGTAATTCATGTAAAAATCAGTATCCATAAAAAACCGATAAATATTCTTATGGGAAATCAAATGCTTTACAAAAAAAGCCTCTCAGCATTTTTTTCTAAATTCACTCCATCAAAAGTTTTTTTCCGGGTACTGATTTTTACATGAATTACAAAATTCCAAAGTTAAAAGATCAAATTGTAAAACTATATAAATTTTTAAGGCATGATTGTAAGAAAACGGTTCATCTGACGGGAAATTCCAATCAAACCTTTTTTATAGAGCATTCAATTTTCTTCAAAAAATATTCTTAAGTCAAATTTGTTAAACTCAATGGTTTGGGAGTTCTGAGACAAAAAAAATCTAAAATTGCGATGATATTAATATTATGGACTCAAACTTTCACCATAATTTTTTTTGTCACCCCAAACAATATTTTCGATATACTTTACAAAAAAAATATTCTTTTTTTTTGGCCCATGGGCTGCAGTCTACTGTATATACAGTAGAAACCACCAATATATGAACGTGACTCATCGGGTGCCGAACATATCTCAGACATGCTAGCAGTAATGTTTTACTTGTCTTGTACATTCGATGCAGCGGTAAATTTACTCACACGTAGGTTTTTAAGCATCCGGTCTAAAATGCGCCATCTGTGATGTAAAACTGCCTAGGTGTTGGACAAAGATGGACATATGACGCTTGTCCTAGCTTGTTACTTATTTTTTTTTGGAATTCAGTAGAGTTCGTGTTTTAGGCATTTATTTTATTTTATTACATAGTAAGGCAACCAACTTTACCGTCGGCCATTTGTTTTTATATGTCATATGATCTTTGTTTTTGCATATCGTGTTTCTGCTGTGTGTTTACGGATTAATAATCGTTTTAAACGTTGTAGTGTTAGTGGTTTTTATTGAAATTGTTATTGCATGTTTATTGGACTTTATTGCAATTGTTATTGTACACTTTTTGGACTTTAAATAAACGGTGTGTGTTTACGGATTAATAATCGTTTTAAACGTTGTAGTGGCAGTGGTTTATATTTTGTAACACAGGTAGATGTCGTATAAAAATCCTTACCTAGAAATTCTAGGCTAGAATACAAAAATATTTTTATTATATAAATTTTGTACTAGTATTAGTTTAATACATTCTGAAGAAGCTACTGTGTAGCGAAACAATTGTCAATATTTAATAAATTTCGTGAAACTAACGCAAGTTGTTTTTATATCCACACAATTTAAATATCTTTCACTTTGTACCTGACCTGCGTAAACATTTTTATTTTTTGTCACCAATTCTGAAATATTTGCGTTTACAGTTAAAAGAATAGTATATTCTGTAACAAGTTTGACGGTTTCACGAGAGGGGAATATGCAATTCCAAACGTGTTTCAGACTATACTTTTTCTACGTTTCCAAAAAATACCATAGACAAAGAATTTGGTTGGATCGGTCTAAAATTTCTTAGATATTAAAAACAGAGATGTCGCCACGAGTGTACATTCTGTCATCAGATGATAGAATATTTCATTAAAGTTAAAAGAAAAGTTTATTTATTAATTAGTTTCTAAGAAAATTACATTTTATTTAATTATCGTAGATGTTAATTATTAAAATTTAACTTTAAAAGCAAATATATCATAAGTATAGCAACCAACATTACACTCAAGATTTTTTACAAACAGCACTGCACTGAACCGTGACCTTCGATAGATTGCTTCGTACGAATGTGTCGGATGAGTCACGTTCATATATTCGTGGTTTCTACTTTACCTATACTGTATCTTATAAATTATAATTGTTGTACTACATATTTCATTTAAACATTGATATGTAACAATTTAAATTAAATATTTCCAACCAAAAAACTAAACAAATGTAATATTTACAAGCCGTGAATAAAGGTTTTGTTTCAGGAAAATTTTTATTATCTGAAAAAATAATAATTTACCTTGTGGGTTGTACAAATCCCACACAAAAATTAATTAACATACTTACTTTTGGTTTTTTATAAACTGTATTATGAAACAATTTTTATGAATTGTACCATATTGGTTAAAAAAATCTTTTTCAGAATGAGGAAATAGAACCTGAACTCCAAGCTTCAGTGTCAGATGTTGCTTTTCTATCTATTGGAGCAGTTTGCCAGCAAGGAGCTGCAGCGGTTCCATTTAGCTTACCAGGACGAATTACCACGATATTTTTGTACATCGCCTTGTTTTTCCTTTACACCTCTTATTCTGCAAATATAGTTGCATTGCTACAATCATCATCACACAGCATTAAGAATTTAGAAGATCTATTAAAGTCCAGGTTACAAGTTGGAGTAGATGATACTGTATTTAATAGATTTTACTTTCCAGTAAGTTAATATTATTTTATTAACAAAATAACTAATTTTTTTTTAGAATGCCACTGAAAAAATTCGCCGTCAAATATATTTGCAAAAGGTTGCTCCTCCCGGAAAACCAAATAAATTCATGCCAATTGAGGAAGGTATCAGAAAAATGAGAGGAGGTTTATTTGCTTTTCATGTTGAAACTGGTGCAGGATACAAACTTGTTGGTATGACCATAAAATTATTTTAAATGATGTCTAAAATATAATTGTTTTTAAGGCGAGACATTTCATGAAGACGAAAAGTGTGGACTACAAGAAATCCAATATCTTCAAGTACCTGATCCGTGGTTAGCCATTCAAAAAAATTCTTCTTTTAAGGAGATTTTAAAGATAGGGTAATTTTTTTTACCATTTAATATAAACAAATTTTTGATAAATATTCTTCAGTTTAAAAAGAATTCAAGAAATAGGATTGCAAATACGAGAAGTGGGATTGATTTATTCAAAAAAGCCTGCCTGTTTAGGTAGAGGTACTAGTTTTATAAGCTTTGGTATTGTTGATTGTTACCCACCTGTTGTGGTGTTGGCAGCAGGACTGCTACTATCCTTTAATTTGCTGCTAGTGGAAATAGGAGTCCAATACACGTAAATTCTGGTTCACAATTTGTAAAAAAATAATTATGTTTCTTTAGTTTTAGGCAAAATTCATGGAAACACAAAAATTGGAGAGGATTTAATATTCTGCCTTATAACAATTAAATTAGGATGTTTTATTAGGGCTGTAGTTAGTTTAATATATGCTGTTAATGTGTAATTTAGTATTAAGGGAAAAATAGACTGTTAAGTAAATTATTAATGTTGGAGTATTCCAATTGGAAATTGAAATAAAAGAAATGGTAATTAATTAAAATATGTATTAAATTATAGACAATAAGTTAATAGTATAAATTTATTTTAATACAGCATGACAAACGGGAATGTCAACGAATCAAGAAAAAATTTCAAACTGTTACACAATGGATATCAAAGTCAGTGAACTCCGCTGTTTGTCAAATAAAATCGACGCTGAAAATACTTGAAGAATGGAACAAATATGAAAAAATTTCAAACTGTTACACAATTGATACCAAAAGTCAGTGGACTCTTCTGTTTGTCAAATAAAATAGACGCTGAAAAAACTTGTTAACTAATATTGGAACAAATATGAAAAAATACAATTTACCAACATAACCGAATTATAATTTTTTCTAAACAATAATAAAATTACCGAGCAGTTTGGCTCAGTTAGAATATGTTTCAAGGACCAACCATATGTTACAAAAATAACGGATTTTATTTTAGTTTATTAATACAAATATCTACTGTACAGACACATCTGATACAAAATAAATCGTTTATGGTACAAAATAAATCCTGCATCACCAAAATAAATAAAAAGTAAAACGTACATAAAAGATTGGTGCAACAATAACGCTATACTGTATACTGTTTGTCCACTGCACTGTGAAAAAAAAGTAGTATGTAGTAAGATTGGTAAGACAAACAGTAGACTTTTGGTCATGATTGCAACATACGGTATAGTAAACACTGAAGTAGTCCGACGGCCGTCGCGGCGACGGTCGCAAAAACGAAAAAACTTTTACTTTATCTTTAAAAAAACTGTCTCACTTAACGGTTGGCGTTCTTTAATTGATTGGACAGCCAGTCGAGTCCCTCGTAGAGGCCGTCGCCGCTCGTTGCGCACGTCGCCTGTATGTACCAGTTGCGATTTCTGAGCGAGTGCAGGCCCAATTTGTCGGTGATTTCCGCTGCGTTCATCGCATTTGGCAGATCCTGTTTGTTGGCGAAAATCAAAAGCACGGCATCCCGAAGCTCGTCCTCGGCGAGCATACGCATCAGCTCGTCCTTCGCTTCGCCGATACGTTCCCTATCGTTGCTGTCCACCACAAAGATGAGTCCCTGCAAAACAACCACAATATAAATTAACAATATTCGAAAACAGGCATTATGCAAAATAACTAGGGATTAGGGCGAGCCAAAAAAACTAACCTATCGGATTTATGGGTTAAAATGAACCTACATACCGAGCAAAAAATTTCCCTGCAAGGCAAAATTTTTTGCTCAATTTTGTCGGTGAGCATTCTAAGTTTTCCATTGAAATAACACGTAAAAAAATCTTTTTTCATTAAAAAGACTATATAACTTTTGAACCGTTTGAGATAAAATTTTTTACGTCGCGGATTCTTGTAGAGCATAAAATTTCCCAAAGAATCTATACCAGGATTTTTTTAATTCAAAAATTCGTATGTTTGAAAGCTTTGAAAAGTGTAAAAAATCACTAAAACTGCAGAAAACTTAGAATGCTCACCGACACCTTTTAAAATTGAGCAAAAAATTTTGCCTTGCAGGGAAATTTTTTGCTCGGTATGTAGGTTCATTTTAACCCATAAATCCGATAGGTTAGTTTTTTTGGCTCACCCTACTAGGGATGTAAGCAAATTTTTATGACAATCTCATGTCACGATCATAATGAAAATGACGGTCATTTTTATGACACCCATGTCATTAATTTTTTTCAATTTAAATTTCTGACTGACAAAAAAATAACTGACCGTCATTAAAATATATGACGGTCACAAAAATATCAGCTTGCTATCCAACGACGCGAACACAAAAAAACTCCCAAGCCGGGAGGTGGAAGCTACACTTTCTGTCATTAGATGACTTTGATGTTGATGACTATAAATCTGGCAAAAATTTAGTTATAACTGGTTATAAACCAGATAGATATTTTTATATTCTACTAGGACTTTTATTAAATTTTAGATTTTGTTTTTTTCAAATAAATGTATGTTTAAGTTTGTCTCTTAATGTTTAAGTCACTTGTCTGATGCTTCTATATCTACATTGAAGATTAGGAAATAAAAATGACCATAAATGACAAAAATGACATGTCACGTGTCACATAAATAAATGACCGTCATTTTACATCCCTAATAATAACTAAGCATTTTAAAATTATGCCTAAAGCTAAATTAATGAAATGTTTTTATTAATTAGAACATTTTTTAGTGCCACTGTATTATTTTGATAAATAGGTAAATTTAGCGTAGGCTTTTATATTAAGGTAAACCTAACAATAAGATTTTTAAGTAGCTCAGGAATTTTGATAATACCTGAAACATTTGGCCATTAGGCATACTTTTTAATTACGTCATAAGTAAAATACAAGGAAGAAATTCTACAATCCAGGGTTCGAAAAAAGCGATACACAGACAGATAACGGACATAAAAAAAGTTGTTCAGAATTCAATTGCAGTCTTAACAACAGCTTACTTTTTACAAACTTTTCAGTTTATATTTTGAGTTCACAAAAAGTTTTCAGTTCATATTTTGAGTTTACAAAAAGTTACTTGTTTTAAAAATAAACGATTCATTTATTTTTTGAACAAGTACCTACTGTTTGTGCAGAACTTAGTAAAATTGCATATCTGGTAACATTGCATAGTACCAGAAGGAATTATGTTTTATTTTAAGTAAATTGTAGGGCAAAAAATCATCAATGCATGGCAATGGACCGATTCGTTACAAAATTATTAGAGTGTATGTAGGCAACTCAGATTACAGATTTATGACAGTAAAGTAAAATTATTCTAATCTAACAATTAATTATTAATTTAATTACGCTGCATTAGAAATTTTTGCGAAAATAAGGGTTTTATTTCACATTCAAATTTTCTTAATAAATTTTTTTAAATAATAATAATAATAATAAAAATCTTTATTGTATAAAGTGACATACATAAATACAAAAGGTGGAAGTTCAGTTTTCACTGTTCTTACACTTCAACCCAGCTTAAGACTAAATTTTACAAATTTAAACTTAGACATTGCACTTTTAAGCTTATGCTTAAGAGATATAGCTGAATTACATTGATTAAATAGATTAAAATAAATATTTTAATATTTAATATTTATTGACGTGGCCATGTATTCAAAACTACTTTTAAATTTAGTAGTTTTATGAATAGGTACACTTAATAAAGATTTATTACGAACATTAACATTATGACACTGGCTCCTCTGAATTAAAAGACTAGACAAGTATAAGGGCACATTTGTTTTACAAATAGAGTAAACAAGTAAAACATACTGGCTATAAAATAAGTGGTCACATTTAAGTATCTTAAGTCTAACATAGTGTTCACTGACGTGATCCCTATGGTCAATGTTATATGCATATCGAAGACAGGAGTTTTGGAGTTTTTGAATATAACACTGAGTTGCTTTCGTTGCAAATGTAAAATAAACACTACTACAATAATTACAAGGACTTAGGATAAGACTAGTACATAACTTCCATTTAATATCACCCGACAAAAATGTTTTAAAATTGTAGATTGACTTAAACTTAAAATAGGCATTTCTTAAAATACTTTTTACATGGGATTCAAAACTTAAATCACAGTCTATTAAAACACCTAGGTTTTTAACGCAGTTTTGAAATTGTATCACAGAGTTATTAACATAAATATCACAAGTTTTAAGCGCTAAAGCTTTCATTCGAGCATTTTTAGAGCCAATGCAAATGCTGACAGTCTTGTTTTGGTTGAGTAGCAGACCATTTTTGGTAGACCACATACTTATTTGCTGAAGATCTTCATTTAATTGTAGGACTGCAGAGTTAATAGCAGCTGGAGTAGTTGATTTATAGATTTGTGTATCATCTGCATACTGATGTGCTTCACTATATTTTACCACTTCACACAAGTCAGCAGTAAAAATTGAGAAAAGTAAGGGACCCAGTATGCTTCCCTGCGGAACTCCTTTAGACAATGATCGACGAGTTGACACATTACCATTTATTTCAACATACTGGACTCTGTTCTTGAGATAATCACAAAACCAGTTTATCACCATTGCATCAAAATTGTAATAATGCAGTTTAGCCAAAAGCAAATTATGATTAACTACATCAAAAGCCTTGCTGTAGTCAAGTAGCACCAATAGAGTAATCTCAGAATTATCTATGGCCCTGACAAAGTCATTTGTGATTTTTAGTAGCGCTGTGTTAGTACTATGTAATTTGCGAAAACCAGATTGATTTAAGGGTAGGATATATTTATTGGCATGTTGCACAGTTTGTTCGTGGACAATTTTTTCTAATATTTTTGACGCAATGGGAAGGATGCTGATTGGTCTGAGATCAGTGGGTCCTTCTGGCTTGGAATTTTTGGGAATAGGCCTAATTTTTGCAATTTTCCATTCATTGGGAACAATTCCATTTATTAAGGAGTAATTAATTAAAAAAGTTAATGGACTAAGGCAATATGGTATATTTTAAAGAAATGTATGCAATGTAATTGAAGCAAATAGTCATTTTAGAAATAGTAAGAATATATTTAAAAATTCAACGTTTACACCCTCTGGGTATTTCCACGAATCCTTACCCCACCTTGACAAAAAAATCAGATGTGTTATTTAACAAAATAACAACTATATCTGAAGTCAAATAGTTTAATTGCGACGTAATTTATGACCTTAAAATATTCGTACATTGTGATGCTAAGAAGCTAACATTAAGAATAAATACGGAAGAGTTTCAATACTCGATAAAATGTTCAAATGTCGCACCCGTTACATTTTGAGAAAATTTTAGAAAATAAAGTGTGCAATGTTTGTGCATTTAAAATACGTGCTTGTTTAAGGTTACTACTCAATTTTTACACAAAAAAATATTACTATGTGCTTTCATCCAAAATTTTACAGAATCAACTTTAGAAGCCAACTTGGTCGCATTTGCAGATTTTCTAAGGTCGCACCCGTTACGCTATTCATGACGTTATAAAAGGTTTTCTATACAAGTTTTTATTGACATTTTGTTTGAGTTAAATACCTAATTTTTTATACTATTTTTTTATATTAACCTATCTTGATATATATGAACAAACATTTTATTATCATGAAAAAACGCAGTTTTGGTGTCGCACCCGTTACAATTACCCCTCTGTAATAATTATAAGCAAATTTACATATTTATTTTTTTAAGTAAAGTGTAGCTAAAAACGCTATCTAATGGACGTAAATAATTTAACAACATTTAAAAAATATAAATCCTAGTTGTTTTATAGATATTTAAAAATATTTATCAATAATAAATTATTATTTAAGTATTACACATGAAAAAGCTCTTGCATTGCCACAAAATTATCCATAAAGAAGAATTATATTAGGTATAGTAATCGGCGCGTTGGTATGCCATTTTTAAAGGATAATTTAAAATATTTCATACAAAAAACAACAAAAATTAATTATTTAATTTTTAACAATTTAAAACATCAATTTATAATCTGGGTTGCCTACCTAGATTTATACAAACACGCAACTCCTGCAATTTTGCGAATTGGTAAAAATGGCAGGGTTGGTATGATTTAAATCACCAACTAATTTGTAGAAAAAAACTAAGGTTTATAAAGAAAAGGCTTCATATGTGCATTAAGGGTTGTTTTACAAGTGGTCAAAAGTAAAAAAAGTTTTATTGATTTGTTTCAAAGAAAATAACACTTAATTGTTTTACAATGTAGACGGACTATTTATTTACCAGTTGAATTTTCTTAAAATGTTTTATGCCTACCACATAATAAAATACTTTATGCATATCTAAATTAAAATTATTTTCTTCTTCCAAACTCCTTACATTTTTCTCTATGAAACGTGACGCACTGCTAAAGTTGAAAATGAGGGTATAAAAAAATACCTGAAGGATTGTTATCAAAACTAAATCCAGTAGCCAATGCTCTTGACAAAATACAAGGTGATAAGTGGTTTTTTGGCTGACTGTCTTAATATGGATAAACCCAGTGAGAGCAATGTTTTAAGGTGTGTTAAATTTAAAAAGGGTATACAAATATACAAACAATGAAAACCATGAAGAGGTCTCACAAAAAACAGATCAATTGGTGGTCTGCAATTTATAATTTAAAAAGTTGTATCTGAAGAATAGTTTTTCATCTTGGAATTTACCTTTACCCTTTCAGCCATAAACTTTGGAACACCCAGTATACACTGTATACTGGCCTTCCAACTTTAAAGTTCAATAGAAGAAGTGAAAAATTGGCATTTTTTTCATTTTATTCAAAGGGTAATACAAAAAAATTTAAGTCAATTTTTCTAAAAATTTACAAATCTTTACAGATGCTATCCGTACACTGATATCAAGAAAAAAGTGAATTTCTGAAGCTGAATATCATAATATTATGATTATAATAATTATTCCTTTTATTTTAATAGTAAGAATATTCTACCGTGTCGCAAAGAAACATTTTCGGTGCTGTATTAACATAACTTTTGTTTTATTTGAAACCTGATTTATAAAATTTTAATTTTATAATTTCACTGTATAAATCATTCATTATTTTGTAATTGGATATTCTTAATGGACTTTTTGCAAAAAATACCAACACGTTTACGTTTATTTGCTTAAATCAATTTAATTTAATTAAATGTTTAGTTTTATTTTCTTTCCTGTAAGGATATTTTTTGGTAATTAAAACATTGTTAAGTTGTGCTACTTTTTTTCAAATGTGTTTATTAAAAAAAAATTCAATTTTCCCCAAAAAAGTCAATTTTTCCAATGCCTGGGGAAAAGACGAAAAAAACTGTTTTTTTCCTCAATTTTCCAGATTTTTTTTCGACACTTTAAAACCCTAGCTGAGACGATAGTCATATTCATAATACATTTATTTCGTTCTTAATGAGTACAATAAAATATAAGTTATACTACAATTCATTGCCATGGTATGTATAGAATTAATATAATGCAAAAGGCATAATATTTATTCTTCTTTTAGGCCGGGGATGAGCTGTCCAGGGAGTAGCAAGCACCTCCGCATCGATGTGGGATGAATAAAAGGTAGTACACTGTCCGGTTTCAGATTTGAAAACGCCCGCCTTTTTCACAGTGTGATTTAGCGTCGATATTGTTAGTAGATTAATTAATCGGGTGCGATGCAAAGCCGTCAGAGATTATTTATTTAATTAATTAGATTTCTGATTTGATTATTGCAGGAAAAATGAGGCAAAAAACCTGCTTAAATATTTGGTAGATGATGAGAACATAAAAATGGCACAATGTGATTTTTACTAGTGATTTAAGATAGATTTTTAAAATTATTAATCGATTTCAACAAGCGCGCCATGCGCGAACTAATTAATCATTTAATTATTGTTAATAGCTAATGGTTCATTATATGTTGGGAGCTTTCTATAATTTAAACCATGTTTGATATTTGCATTGTCGTGTTGTCTAATATTAGTTATATTTTTAAGAAGCGGGTTGATTTTTAGTTTATATTTGAATATTATATTATATTGGTGATTTCATGCAGTTCGTTGATGTTTGTATATCTGCCTTTGCCTGTGTCCAAGTATCTTATTTGATTGAAGTGTTATGTAGTTGGTTTGACATAGAGCACCATACCGAGTGTCCGTAAGTTAATATAGGTCTAAGCACAGTTTTATAAAGTAGTATCTTGTTGTCTATTGATAGTATACTATTTTTGTTTATTAACGGGTAAATTGCCTTAAGGGCGTCGAATATTCTTAATCTCAAGTTGTTTATGTGTTTTGTGAATGTAGTTCGATTGTCTATTATTATTCCAAGATATATAACACAGCTTTTTTCAACAAGGGTGACTTTGTTTAATGAAATTGGTGTTATAATGCGGTTATTTGTAAACTTTTTTGTGAAATGAATTAGTTCCGTGAAATGTACTACATAAACAAAACCTACTACATAAACAAAACCTACATTTTTTAAATCCTATCATGAGCACGTTGGTTTTGTTTAGATTTTCCAATTATCCAATTAGTAGATAAGATTAAACACAACACTTTTTCAATTTTACAATATACCTGTCAAACAAAGAACAAAACATGCGTGAGTAGTTCATTTCACCGTTTACTCTCGTATCTCAGCGCCCCTAGCGGCTAGGCACATTTGGAGGCCTATGTTGAAACTGTTCGAGACAATGGTATGCTATCATATCATAATGCTATGATCCGTTAATTACTACTAAAAATAAAAAATGTTTCACTTAAAAAAAAGCAAATGAAATGTGAAGAGTCTTTGTTGTTTATGGCAATAAAATTAAATTGTTAATTTTTTAAAAAATTACGTGATTGACCTTGAAATCTAGAAATGATCTACCATAAAAATATAATTGATATATTTAATATGACTTGCTTCTAAATCAAAGGGAATATTTCTAGTTAAAAAATAAAAAAATATATAATTTTCATTTAAATTAATAAATTTAATAATTAAACTAAAGAGCATACACATTGATTAGAAAAATAATGTTATAGGTAACTTTTTTCTTATGCTTTTTGTGGTAGAGTAATTTTTCATTGCCTTTAGGTATTATTTAAATAAGAATACAAACCAATAAGGTATTTTTGTTTAAATTAATAAAATATTTAACCCATTTAAAATGGATTTTCCAGTTAACAAAGATCAGGACTTACATATCCTTGACCAATATGGTGCAACACTAAAATTATACCCATAAAAATTTTAGTAGCACCAACATGTATTTTATTTTCAGCTCATAAGCTAAATAATTACAAAAGTATGGTTTAAATAAAGAAAACTTTAAAATTAAGGAACCTATTAAATCTAAAAATGTACCATTAAGATGAATAACCTGCTTAGCAATAAACGCAAGATAATTAATGGACCAAAAATTACAAAGCAAATGATATGTATTTCTTATGTTTTATCAAAAATTGTATTTAGGAAGATAAGATAAGATGTGTAAAAAAATACCAAAATGGCATAATTTTAGAAATTTTGGTAGAACATATTGAAAATAATTTATACATTTGTAATTTATAGCAATAGGAATTTAAAGTGTTGCAAATTTGCGTCTTATATGTTAAAGACACAATTAATAATAAAGAATTTGTTTTAATATAAATAAATAAAATTTCTTAGTTAATTGTACCAATTGTACCAATTATAGTAATATTTTAATTTGAATTTTAATAAATTAATTTATAATTACCTGTGTATTCTGAAAATAGTGTCTCCACAAAGGCCTAATTTTGTCTTGACCACCCACATCCCACACTGTAAAGCTGATGTTCTTATATTCTACAGTTTCTACATTGAAACCTGAAATATAATTAAAATGTTTAGTAAACTTGTAGTATATACTTCATTTTATTAAAATATTATTTTTAAAGTTTAAAGCTGAAAATGAATATTATAATTTGGAATTAAAACCAAGAACCTTAAGGCAAAACACCACTGTGGCAACTCAAAAAGTACTCATTTTTGTGATTTTTTTAAATAATGATATGTATACTTAATAGTTTTAACCACATAAAATATTGAAAATTCACCCCATATGGGGCATCTTAAAACACTATATTCTGATGAATTTTTCATATTTTCAATAACAATTTTTTTTAATAATTCTTACTTTATTATATAAGTTTTAGAAAAATAACAAAAATTAGTATTTTTTTGTGCCATTACATTGTTGTTTCCCTTTAAAATGTTTTAAAGGTTATAAAATAAAAAGTAAAAAATTAATTTGATAAGTAGCTAATACCAAAATGAACAAAAGGAATTAATCACTGCATACCTAACTGAGTAACTAATTAGAAAGTTTGATAAAGTTTAATTGCAAAAATTGTAATGAAATCTTCTTAGTTTTTTAATGGTTGAGTGATAAGCTGGTGTATAACTAAGCTGCCTAGTTGGCAATAGATAAAGAATACTCACCAATTGTTGGAATAGTTGTTACAATTTCTCCTAATTTAAGTTTGTATAAAATTGTAGTTTTACCGGCCGCATCTAATCCTACCATTAATATCCTCATTTCTTTTTTGCCAAAAAGGCCCTTAAATAGATTGGCAAACACGTTACCCATATTTGCTCCTTTAGAATATAACCTAAAAACTTATTTTATTAGTATTGTTCCTTATGGTCACTAAAGTTAATTGCTTGGTTTTTAAGCAAGTTATATTTAGAACAAAGACAAGATTAATGAAAAACTAAGGTTATTAATCCTGCAGCAAATTGACATATTGATTTAATTTTATTTTATTTATAAGTTATTTAACACATACTTAACAGTTTTATTGCATTCAGGAGCTTAAAGAGAAACAATTTTTCAAGTTAGATTAAAATTTGCACTAATAATTCGGCATAAAATATAAAATGCCGACTTGACTTGTTGTCACTTAAACCAACTCCCCAAATTTTAACAATAAAACTGCCAAATGCGCAAATACACTGAATTTAAACTTGCAAACGATTGTCCACAATATAGAGAATATAAAACACCATGTTTCGGCTTACCTTTATTAAAAAAACACTATACACTTTAAGAAAACGCTAACACATTCACCTTTCCTCCCAAAAAAGTTGTCGAATGTCAATATGGCGGACGTGGAAGAGATTCGTACTTCATGCCACGTCTTGGGAATAGGCTGATTCGATTGGTTATCGCGGAACACGTGACCAAGTCTTGCCAATCACAATAATCTAACCTGTTCCACACGTCCGATAAACTTAAATTTATTTCACTTATTTTACGAATATTTTAAAGTTAGGAAATCTTCAGAAGGATTAAAAAATGCCGTTTCCCAATTCGCCGTTTAAATACAATTTTAATTGCGACGTTTTGTACAAAACTAATGATGAACCACCACACACGTCGGTAAGTTTTAGTTACTAAATGTTTGCAACACTGTATTTGTCAAATACTATTTGATATAAAATTTTTGCGCCCTTTTAGATTCAATTTTCTAAATTGGAAAATACTTTAAAATGGCTTTGCAAGTTTCCTAAAATTACATCGTATCGTATAAATACATTGAAATGTAATATAGATGACATTAAAACAATATTACAGGGCTTATTAACCCAGGTAATGCAAAGTTCCTAGGGTAAAATAAATAGGTATTTATTTTATTAATCTAGATTAATTTAATATTTTATTTTAGACTTTAGGCAATGTTATAGTACTAAAAATTCATCCTTTATTATCGGATGTACTTATTTTAAATCATTCTTATGAAAATAAAAATATTAATTCCCATGATAAAGAAGTAATTATTGATCCAGATTGTGCTGCAGCTGTTTTAAGAGGAGCTCATATTTACGCTCCCGGTGTTATGGGGTTAGTTTCAGGTAATAATAAATTTATTATGTAGGTATTTACCTATAGACCTATCCCATAAAACGGACTTTTGGATAGCGCGTGCGTGAAAAGACACGTCGTCTTTTTTTAATTACATAAAAGAGAAAGAGATACCACTCTTCTTCAGGCACGCGCTATCCAAAAGTCTGTTTTATGGGATAGGTCTATTGACGTCATCGATATCATGACGTCATCTTAAATGACTCATTTAAGTATATATAACTATTATATACCTACTGGCCCTGTTAAAAATCACCCATAGAGACCAATAGAAACCAATAAAAAATCAGAATGGAATGAATTGGTCTTTATTGGGCCTATTGGTTTCTGCATCATATGATGTCATGATACCATATGGTATCATGACGTCATCTTAAATGACTCATTTAAGTATATATAACTATTATATACCTACTGGCCCTGTTAAAAATCACCCATAGAGACCAATAGAAACCAATAAAAAATCAGAATGGAATGAATTGGTCTTTATTGGGCCTATTGGTTTCTCAACGGAATGAGCATTGGTTTAGAATTCTATTGGTAATTTCCGTACTGGAAAATGCCAATAGATTACCTAATGGTCTGAATTGGTTTTTATAAGAAGTTACAAGTACAAGAAATTCAATTGGTAAATACCACTTTAATGTTCATCGCCTGCGCAATTAGGTAGGCAACCCATGCATACCTCTCGCCTCTGTAGCACAATACATAGGCCTAAAAAGGTGGAATGCCTTGAGCTGCTAAGATTCTTTACTAAGGCAAAATTACTGGCCATGGAAACGCTTGGCGTTTTGGAATTTTTAAAGGGGCACAGGTCGTCCTGTGGCATACTGCGAAAAGTAAGCAGTGGGCCCCACTTTATAAAATTTAAATTAAATGTTTTTTACCTTAAAGACGTCTAAAATGGATAGTGGGGACCAATTCAAACCAATAGCGGTACCTCTGGAAAATCCAAATAGCTCTTCTATTGGGAATTACCATTAACATTTAATTTACCTCTATAATTCTCTATTGGAAAATTCGATTAGTCTCTATCGGTCTGTATTGGGATTTTTCAGCGGTGTCGCAATAGGTTTGAATTGGTGATTCATGGTACAGATACCACTATTGAGACCAATTCAAACCAATAGAGCTACCGCTGGAAAATCCCAATAGATTTTCTATTGGTCTTTATGGGTGATTTTTAACAGGGAGACTACTAGTCAGGGGCGTATTTACCTAAGTGGTCCAGTGCATTTAGATGTGACCACGATACACAAAAACCGGTATATGCTGGTTATGAAACGAAAACTCGTCGACTCCGCGCATGTGACGTAACGTGCGAACCAGATTCAAATGTTACAAACAGTTTTGCCAGTTTTTTTCCGAATATATCGTGTTTTTAAAGTATAAGCCACGCACGATGGTTTTGCAACGTTTTTTGTAAAGTTTTTACTGCATTTATTGAACAGCAATAAGTTATTGCCAATAACCATTTACAAGGTATTTATAGGCCACGCACGGGTGTTTTATACCAGGTTATTTATTAAATATTTGTTGGACTTAATAACTATTTAAAATATGCCGGGCTGCAGCCCATGGGCTGCAGCAGACAGCAGAAATATGAACGGAAACTCCAACACCCAGTAAGCACCAAACAGTCGCCCTCGCTCGGCATAGGCGGTTGACCAGCAGTTCGGCTTGCCCCAGCCGGCCCGCTTACGGCCCGCGTTATGTTACCCCGGTACCGTTTAGCCATGTTTTAATCAAACTCGACCAGAATACGGCATGCCGCTGCAAAATCCTTCGGCTTGCCCTAGCCGGCTCGCTTACGGCTGGAATACGGCCTGCCGCGGCATAAGCGATACATCTCACGGCTGCTTACGCATGCGAGCTAACTATAAATATATTTATAGCTATAGCGATTAGTTGCAATATTTAGTTGGAAGTGTGCGTCCGTAACGGCATAGCTGAACATTAATTGTTGAGTCAAACCACGTCAAGTGGGACCAGAAAATTTTACGAAATCACCGATTTTAAAAATAATCACATTATTGTGTAGTAGGCATGACTCATATGTCACAGTAAAAAAATTGTTATTAAGGTTGACAATTTTGTCAAACTTTAGAGCACGGTAAAATTGAAAAAATAGAATCTCTGGGACCACTCTGTATAATTGAATTAAATTTTACACACTATTGTAGAAATGTTTAGAGTATATAATGATCATTTAATTAAGGTTAATTTGTTTAAATAAAAGAATTTTGCATACATTTATTATAAACAATTGAAATTTTGTATGTGTTCTTCACGCTGAAAAAAAATTAATCTTGTGTCATAATATGCGGCAAACGTTTCCGTTTAATAAGATGTACTCAAAAATTTGCCTTTCATATGTCATTCCGGAGATATTAATTTTTTTTGTCCGGCTGTGCGCTTGATCAGTACGCGGCGCGCTTTGCTGCTAGCTCGTCCGTTCGAACGGTTTAACGGTGTGCCTGAACGAAGTTTAAGTCACATAAAAATGCCGCCAAAAACTGATTGTAGTTTCTTGTTCGGGACCCTTTGGTGACTTAAAAATGATATTTACCAAAGTTCTAGCTGTTCCTCTTTTCGAAATTGTTCGAAAATTCATGATTTTTTTTTAAATTTTTGTTTATCTCTTTGACAGAGTACAAATTTGCACACGGATTTTTATAAAATTGGAGTATATTATTTAGGAGACTTAGAGAATATTTTTTAATACTGTTCACATCATTTGATATATACAGGGTTAGCCAAAAATCACTTATTTTTAATAATGCAAAAGCGTAAATTCATGATTTTAGCATAACACGCGAAAAATATTTATTCCCAATTTTTTTTTAGATATTTCTAGGTCTATCAGGTTACAAAATGGCATTATTATTAACCTTTTACAAGAAAAATAGATTTGTAATAACATTTAATAAAATAACGCTTAGAGAGTATTTAAAATGTTGTTTAATTTAGGCTTTTTAGTTGTTTTCAATTTTGAACGAAAAATTGGTTGAAGTTAAAAAATATATTTACCAAAATTCTAACTGTTTTTTTTAACTTGTAAAAAAATCATTTTTTTTTAAATTATTTGTTTATAGCAAAGTCTACCTTTGCCAGAGTACACATTTGTACACCGATATTGTAAACGAGAGAAACTGTTTTTTATATATATATATGCTTAGATTTATACAGGGTTAGACAAAAAATCACTTTTTTATATAGTAAAAAGCATAATGCATAAAAAAGATTTTTCAAAAAATTAGGAAAAGAGGAGCAGCTAGGATTTTGGTAAATATCATTTTTAAGTCACCAAAGGGTCCCGAACAAGAAACTGCGGAATTTGTATGTGACTTAAACTTCGTTCAGGCACACCGTGTGCTGACGAGCTAGCAGCGAAGCGCGCCGCGTACTGATCAAGCGCACAGCGGGACAAAAAAAATTAATATCTCCGGAAATTCCGGACCGGAATGACATATGAAAGGCAAATTTTTGAGTACATCTTATTAAACGGAAACGTTTGCCGCATATTATGACACAAGATTAATTTTTTTTCAGCGTGAAGAACACATACAAAATTTCAATTGTTTATAATAAATGTATGCAAAATTCTTTTATTTAAACAAATTAACCTTAATTAAATGATCATTATATACTCTAAACATTTCTACAATAGTGTGTAAAATTTAATTCAATTATACAGAGTGGTCCCAGAGATTCTATTTTTTCAATTTTACCGTGCTCTAAAGTTTGACAAAATTGTCAACCTTAATAACATTACCAAAAAAACGAATTTTAAAACAATTTTTTTACTGTGACATATGAGTCATGCCTACTACACAATAATGTGATTATTTTTAAAATCGGTGATTTCGTCAAATTTTCTGGTCCCACTTGACGTGGTTTGACTCTGTTTGGAGTCCCCATCTCCATCCTCATCTGTTCAGTAACGAATAATGTCTAGCTAGTCAAGTGTGTTAAAAAAGTATCTTGGAGGACTGAACTTATAGGATATACCTCTCCAGGACGTCTGTAGGCTTTTTTTGAATGGTCAGGCGGTTGTGGCCGGCACTCGGCCAACTATGCACAGCCGACACTCGGTCGAGTAAACATAGCCGACATTTGGCCAGGCGGATATGCCCGACAGTTGGCCAGGCGGACATGCCTGTTCTACACGCCGAAAGAAATACGTGTGTCGGGCCGCACGCGGCCGATTCAGCAAAACGTATTCGGGCTGTATGCGGGCCGGCTAGCTTGTGCTACTGGGCAACCAACCTAAGTTGAACATGAAATATTTTTTATTTCAAAAGATCTGGCAGCACAGTAGATGAATGCATGCAAGGGAAAGTATAAAATGAAAAGGCAAATTTTGGTATACCCAATTTTCTGTTTTCACCTTAACCACATATTTTTTTACAGCTTGCATAAGTTCTTATATATTCTTAAGAATTAGTATACTATAATAATAATAATAAAAATTAAAACACAATTGTATCGGAAACCGGCTTCAAAAGTTTCAAAATTAAAAAAGATGTTTAGAGATTTTTTTTTTACTTTTGACACTTTAAAGCGGGTGTGAGTTATTATTACCTTTATAAATGCATTTTTATAATTTTGTTTCAAATTAAAAAAATGTAAAATTCGGTCTATAGCGTAAGTTAAGTTAATTCAATTAAATAAAAAATATTTCAAAAAATAAAAATAAGAAGGTAGAAAATTAATTGTTGCTTAAAATATGTTACATTATAATAAGCTAAATTGGCAACAAGCGCTTTTAATACTATAGTATTAAAAGCGCGCTTGCTGCCAATTTAGCTTTTTCTTATGAAACATTTGTAACAATTAAGAATTGCACCCAGGCCGTCCCCTTTATTTATAAATTGCAGTGCTAATAACATTCTAACCCCAGCTTTTGGTTCGCACATGACGTCACACAGTGCGAGAGAGATAGCTATAACATGCTCATCAGCATACCGGTTTTTGTGTATCGTGGGTT